CACAGTGCCAAGCACATAGCATTCAATAAATCTTAGCTGCTGCAGTCATTTTTTTTAGTAAGTTACTTTGTTCTCATGATCACCCAAATCCCTCATTCCTTTTATAGCCAGAGTCAGAAAGAGTAGTTAAGAATAGACCATTCTTCAGTTCCTTACTTCCCATTTCCTTCTTGATCCACAGTAATCTGGTTGCCTCTTTCAGTGACATTACCACAAGTCACCAGTGACTATCTGATTGCCAGATTCAGAAAACAGACCCTTTATCTGACTGGATCCTGCTTGCCAGTTTTTATTGCTTCCTACTTCTTGAAACCCATTAATGTAACTTCTTTGGCATTACAGCAGTGAAGAGCTTAGAGTTAAGGCCAAAACAACTTATAATAACACTTTTTTCTTAATTATTTTAAATATACAAACTGAATTTAATTATAAATTGAAATAATCCACATATTATAGAAAATTTAGAAAATATACATAATTCCTGTGAGGCACTGTAATATAATATAGTTAAATCTTGGGCTATAGATATTACTGTCTGGATTCAAATCCTGACTCCATTTACTCCTGTCTCTACCCTTGGTCAAGTTACATAGGTAACTTCTCTGAGATTTTCCTTTTTCTTCTTTGTAAAATAAAGGTAACAGTATTTGTCTCATGGAGTCAAATGAGAGAATTTACATAAAATAAAGATTACAGACCAGCCACAAAATACGTGCTCAGAAAATGTTGGCCCTTTTTATTCAGCCTAATTTCACCTTTTCATGATGCTTAAATGTCATTATAAACGTTTTCTTGTCTATAATACAAGAATGCCCTCAAAGTTATAGTAAGATGTGTGTATATGTGAGAGTGTAGTATCACTCTTGACCCTAGTGTTTGGTTGGATTTTACGTAATTCATCTCTCTGTTCTGCTGCCATTATTGCTACTGATTGTCATCTAAGAAACTTCTCTGCTAGGAGCTAAATAACTGGTAGAATTGTGTAGTGGAAATATTCTGTAATTGAGGGCTGGAGTTTTTCTCCAAGAACTCCATGAACCTTTTAATGGAAGAAGAGGAAGGACAAAAGAAGCTATGGACTTCAGATATTTTGGCTCAAGGGCTACATGATCTTACATTTCTTTACAACTTTGCTCTTGTCAAAGAATTTGTGCATCTCTTATCTTAAGTGAGACCAGAGGTAGAGCAAGCCCTGTTTAAATTGTATTTATTATTTATCTTACAAACCAGAAAAATTAATAAGAGTGGAGTAAATAAGGGCCTAATTGCAGAGCTAATCATCTAGCGACAAAATGTGGAGTAGAGCTCAGATCTCCATCTAGTCTCCTTTTCTCTAACTCCTGGTGCCTTAGCTCCAAGTCTAAAGTAGGTGAACATCCTATATGTAGGACATGGTATTGTCCTTCTAGTAAGGTGACCTAGTGCTGGTGGTGTTCTTCTGTATGACCAGTCTCATTCCATAAATGTCCCAGTACCCAAAATAGCATCTTTGTATTCTCATTGCTCTGGCCCATAGGCAGGTTCAGAAACCAGGCAAGTAGTCCTTACTGGTCCAGGCCCCTTTGCAGTATTTTCTTGGGCTCCTATGATTGTCCCACAGGGAGAGAAAGTATTCTTGTAATCCTGCTGGATTGTGCTGACTCTGTTAAGTAAATGGCTTGAGTGTTCGTGTTTGTCTTTGTCTAAACTCAGATTCCATTCTGCTTTATGAGTGTACCTCTCTGCTGATTTTCCCCTTCAAGCACATTGAAACACTGTGGAGAGCATTAAAAGGTAAAAAGGAACTGTCAACACTGTGCACTGAGTGTATTACAAGAACTTGATATCCACTTCTGGGTACTTATCCGAAGAAATCTGAAACACTAATTCGAAAAGATATATGCACCCCTATGTTCACTGCAGCACTGCTTACAATAAAGCCAACATAAGGAAGCAACCTAAATTCCCATCAATAGACAATTGGATAAAGATGTGATACATATATACAATGCAGTATTTTATGCAGCCATAAAAAAAATGAAATCTTAACCATTTGCAACAACATAGATGGACCCTAGAGGGTACCATACTAAGTGCAATAAGTCAGAGAGCGACAAATACTATATGATCTCACTTATATCTGGAATCTAAAGAACAAAGTAACAAAAAAATAGAAACGAACTCATACAGAAAACAGACTGATGGTTACTAGATGGGAAGGGGTTGCGGGGGGAGGGGGCTGGATGAAAAAGGTGACAGGATTAAGAAGTACAAATTGGAAGTTACAAAAGAGTCTCGGGGATGTAAAGTACAGCATAGGGAATATGGTCAATAATATTGTAATAACTATATAGTACCAGGTGGGTGCTAGGCTTACTGGGGTGATGACTTCATAAGTTATATAATTGTTTAACCACTGTGCTATACACCTGAAACTAATGTAAAATAAGATTGAATGTCAACTGTAATTGAAAAAGAATTTGATAAATGTTAAAGTATTATTCCAGCGTTGCAAGGAGTTAATAAGGACCTAGTTAAAGTGTGAGTTCACAACTTGCCTTATCAGAACTGATATTCCTAATGTATTTTCAGATGTTAAAAATAAAGTCCTTTTTAAAAGTTTTAAACTTAAGTGGGTAGCAGTTAAAGGATCCCAGGCCCCTTCTTGCTGAAGTCTGACAGAAGTGAAACTATGTTTACATTTTCAGTTTTGATACAAACACTTGTCTCACAAGGGGAGTCAAGTCTGATGGGAAGAGGCTTATCTCCTTTGTGCTTCCTTGAGGACACACTGTGTGAAGAAAGCACTGATGAAAGAGTCTACTAGTAAAGTCAAAAAGAATGAATAATTGCACCTTTCAGATGACAAATCTGATCCTGTTACTCCCCTGCTTAAAAATCTCGTTGCATTCTCTTCACAGGATGGTATCCAGGGGCCTTAATAGGCCAGACTCCTCAGGGTCCTTGAATATCAGCTGCAGTTTTGTCAGGCTTTTCTGCATTGCCTCAGTGATTTTCTTTTGTCTCTGCCTGACAGGCCTTCTCATTCTTACAGACCCAGGTTATATTGCCATCCCTCACCCAGAGTTGCTCTCTCCTCTGTTCTTTTTACTTACCTCTGTAAGAGAACAAGTGCCAACCCATGATAATAAAGCCATGACTCTCTCTACCATTAGTCAAGAATGAGAATTAACTATTCATCTTTGCATTCTTCCTAGTGCCTAGCAGGCAGCCAGTCAAGTTTGCTAACTGATTTACTACATGGGAAGTCTCTAAAAGTGCTATTAGTTAATCATCCCATGTTCTCCACCCTTGCCTTTTAACAAAAGTTCTATTCCTGATTATTTCCATTTTACAAGTGATTTTGTTTCCTTTTCTGTCCAGGCAGCATAATTCGATGTATGAGGCGCCTGGAAGAATTGCTTCGACAAATGTGTCAAGCAGCAAAAGCCATTGGAAACACTGAGCTGGAAAATAAATTTGCAGAAGGTAAGTACCCATTCAATTTTTTTTGTTGTTTTGGGGTTTTTTTTGTTTTTTTGTTTTTTTAATAATTTAGGCGAATCTTCTGAGACTTGAGCTCTTGACCACAACCTAGGAGGATGTTTTCAGATGTTCTTTACTGGATTGCCAAGAAGGGCCATCTAGTAATGTTTCAATAAAATTTTAGAGTGGGAAAAAAATTTTTATATATATTTACAGATATTTATTGTGCATTATGTGCCAGGCATTGTTTTAAGCACTAGGGGGATACAGCAGTGGACAAAAAGACACAAATCCCTGCCTTTATTTCAACAATTACAATAGGTGGTAATAAGTCTTCAGAAAAAAGGACAATAGGGAATTAGGGGATAGATGGAATGGTCTAGGAGTTCCCCTCAGAAGGTGGCATTTAGGCCCTTTATTTAGGCTTGATATATTTGAGCAACAGCAAGAGGCCATTGTGTTGGAGCAGAGTGAGCAATGAGAAGAATAGTAGGGGTTGGAGAGAGAAAAAAAATCATGTAGCCCCCAGCCCTTATCTTTTTCCTCTGAAATGTCTGGAGGTTTTGATCACAGGAATGGTGTGCTCTCACTTGGGTTTTACAAGGCAGTTTTTGCTGTAGCATTATAAGCAAGTCTGTAGAGTCGCAAGATGAAAGCAGGAAGACCAGATCAAGAAAGGATAGCTAGACCAAGGTGGTAGGGGTCAGGGGTAATAAATGCTTGTATATAGTTTCACACCATCTGAATGTTGGCTTATATAAAGGGCTGAGTTAAAACATGAGATTAGCAGCAACCACATTGTTGCTTTTAGTTAGTTGCTCACAGTCAACCCTAGTGATTTCTGCTGAGTGTCCTAAAGAAAAACTTTGCAAAAACTGGCTTATGTTTCTATTATTGATAGAAGCAGGGCTATTTACTCACTCAGGGTATAAGTCTAATTGCATAAACTTTTTAAATAAAAATTTATGGTTGTTCTTAGTTCAGAAAAAAATTCACATGGTAACTGAAAATGTGTTTTCAGGTTGAAAATTCACGCTTTTGGGTCAGTCAGCTTCTTTTGACAGCTTTGTCCTTCCCCAGATAAGTTTTTTTTGAATAGTTGTAAATACCGCTCCCTCACACACACACTGAAGTACTTTAGAGTCAAGTCATAAGAGCAGGGGTCTATTTTCTAAGTTTTCCACCTCTCAGAGATGGCTGTGATCTCTTTTAGGTAGATCTTTCAGACCAGCAAGGTGTTTTTTATTTTCCAGGTTGTTCTCTCACTAGTTTAATCAGCATTGTTATGTTTGTCTTTACAACCCCCAGCAGAGGGGAATTACATTCTTTGTGGTCTTGAAAGTTTAAACCATATTTTCTTTTCTCTTAGGAATCACCAAAATCAAGAGAGATATTGTGTTTGCTGCCAGCCTTTACTTATAGTCAGTCAAAGGAACGTGGGATTTTAAATTGTTCACCACCTGTCTGATTGCAGTTGACTACAAATGCTTATAGTATTGATTTGGTTCTCCCATCTCACAACAGTTGTCCTCAAACATTTTAATATGTATTATATTTAAATCAAGCATTCCAAGGAAGCATATTACATACACATTTGTACATAAGCATTACATTTTTTTAATAAAAAATGTACAGGTGGGGCATTGTTTTAGTGAAAGGCTTGAATTTTTTTATGAATTTAGAGCTATTAGATTAAGTGTTGTGTTAAACTATATACACACATGTAAAGTGGGCGTCCAAGGTATAGCAGCAGCAGTCCCTTAAAGGCTTGTACACCGGCAAGAACAACACATATTCTTGCCTTCAGGTTGCAATCATTTTCCTTTAGAAAGCAGGCCAGCTTCATCTGGGCATTCTGTCACTTTCAAGGTTGGTGATTGTTCCGATAGTGATTCCCCGCTGTTGGTGTTTCATGCAGAGTTGTATGAGAATCCTCCTCTTTTCTTTCTTTAAAAGAATTTCTCTCCTTGAAGAAATCTGACACATACACAGCCTGTATAGAACAAGTTATAAGTTTAAAAACCACAAAGTTGCAATAAGCAGTTTGCAAAAATATAAACAACAGGATATATATTACAGGGTACAAATTACAGATTAAGGGTACAAAAATTTAGTGGCTAACAGGACTTTTTTCCAAATTGATAGTTGCTTTATCATGTCTTGGGCAAATAGCTTCACTATGCCAGCACGTAAAGAATTATTCTTCATGTAAACTAGTTTTTTTCGATTTATCAAAAAGAAGACTTTATAGTTAGAACCTTTTACAATAAAAATACATAGTAAGATTTTGTAACTTTTATAATTATAAAGAATAACCTAGTTTTTATCTGCTGTCTATCTTACATGACTTTTAACAACACTGGAGTTCTTACATAGTGCTGGATTACTGTACCACATTCTCTGCCTTTGCAGTTTTATCGCTAGGACATTTTTTCTACTTATTTATCCAAATGTTTATCAGTATCAAGATGTAGGCTGCAACCCTGTATACTTACAACTAGTATTGCAACCAGAGCTCCTTGAATGAGTCCAGTCAGCACATCACTCCAATGATGTTTGTAATCAGAAACTCTAGAAAGGCCCACGTAGATAGATACAGCAACAAGACCAAACTGCAGTGTGGGCCGTAAGAGTCTTGCCCAGTCTCCCTTCATTCTGGCTTGAAGATAAAGCTTATAGAAAAGATAAAAAAAAATCAGTATTTATTATATGTGGAATAGGGTTTTAGGCAAGCATTCTTGTACTCAAGTACCTAAAAGTTAATCCTTTTAAGCAAAACAAAACAAAACGATTGCCCCCAATAACTTCTGTTTAGAAGAATTTACCTATCCAACTAAACCACCTTTCAAATTTTAAACAAGGCGAGGGTTAGCTTGTTTAGGATTCCATGGACAGCTCCTCCCCTTGTAATCTGTGTTATAATTCTCAAAGGCAAGTGTCATTAGTTCCCAGTCTTGGGATAAACTGCTAGCATTTGAACACAGGCTGTCCTTACTTACCTTGGGCCAGGCTACTTTGTTTTCTGCCCAGCCTATCCAGGGACTAATTACTTAATGTACTCAAACAATTTACATGTGTTAGAGCCCTGATGGTCTCAAATATTTAACGGCAACTAAGACTAATTATAAGTAAATAAAATAATCTGCCTAAATAAATAAAACAGGTTTAGTCTTTACCCTACAAAAGTCTATTCTTTCAATAGCACTTGTACATTTCTAAATTCTATAACTTTTATACTAATCAGACCTGAGAACTGCCCTTCTTTCGTGTCAGCCTGCCTTGACTTTGGGTACATCCCTAAAGGTTATGATGTAGAAGGAATTTGGATAGTTCCTAGGAACTCCTTTTAGCAAATCTGGTCTCATTTAAAAATATGTTTCTTTTTTTGCTTAACTTCTTCCAATAAGAATATACTTTTTCATGTTCATTTTTAAAATTCTGTTCAATAATCTGACTCATACTTAATGCAGTCCTCAGAAAACAATGTATGTGGCTGTGCCCATTGACACTGCCTATTTAGATGCACAAATCCATTTCCAGTTCTTTGAGTACTGCTGTGGGTGTTCAGTTCTCAGCAGCTAGAAAAGACCCAGAGGTTGTCTAATTTTATCAAGTACTTTATAATATAAATATCTATTTCTAAAAGAGAATACCATTTTTAACTAGAGTTGGACTCCAGCTGGTTTAAGTGCTGCGGAGCCCCTTCCTCCCTTTTTTGTTTGTTGAAGCTATAAAAAAGTAAACAATAAAAACATGTCTCAAGATTCTGGAGTTGGAAGGATAAGTTGATTCTAGTTGAAGCAAAGTTGGCATCTGGCAGCTGAAGCCAATTAGGTAACATAACCATGCCAGTAAGATCACCTCATTAGTTCTACCTCAGTTGGAAACATTTTATTTTAAGGAGGACAGTTCTTTGGGGCTAAAGCCAAGTTTTGAATATTTTTGTCAAGAAGTTCAGCTGTCCCTATTCTGGATATTTAAGCTGCCTCTTGATACAATAAAGGCATGGGTTTTTCAGACTATGAAAATATATACCTAGTAATTACAAATACTTATATAAATGCAGTCATCTTAGGGAGAACTGTACCCATCTCTGCTAGACAGCAAAAAAAACTAAAATGGACTTAAGCTAGTCAGTCCTATTTTGTACTTCTAACCTAAAGGAAACTCAGAGACTTTCAATGTCCTTCCTCACTTAGGATTCTAAAATCCCTCTAACTATATTTTCCTTCCAAAGAACCCTGGCTTTGACTCTATGTTAAATATTTTTGCCCAATTTTTTTTCAACATTCCAGTGAAGAGAAAGAATTAACATTCACTTATGGAACAACAATCGAATAAGCTCCAATAGACTTTAGGTGAAACCTGTACCCCTCTAAATAGCTAGTTTCTCCTTACACATCTACCCAAGCATAGATGTTCCCCTATCTGCATAGACCCAGAGATTATTTCACCTTGAGAGGGTTCTAGGATTCTCCAGTTGCGGTTATACACCTAACTTTACCCTCTGCTCCAGGCTCTGGTTCGTCTGATGACTAATGGTCATGGCTTGTGTGCTGGCTGTTGTCACAGAACAATTCTCAGCCCTGGATGAGGTTGTGTAATTGAATGTGCTGCCTATTTGTCTGCTCTGTCTCCCTGGTTGCAGGGTACTCAGTGTAGCACTGCAACTCCCCTCCCATATTGCCACCTCAAAGTCTTTCCTACAAAAAGCAGCTTCAGTAAAGCACACACACAACATTGTTTCTAGTCGTTCCACTTCTAAGCCCTTCTCAGGTTCTGCAGTGCAGATCTGTCTTTCAAGCTCTCACACTCTGGAGGCACTAGAGCTTTGGCTTCCTCTACTGTTCATTTAGCTGCTTTCCAAAAACCTTACCTTTCACCTATTGTCTCTTTCCATTCTTTGATTTTTGTGGATTTATAACTTTTTAAATTCTATTCCTTGTCCTTTGAGAGGGGAGAGGAAAGTATATGTTTCTTTAAAAAGAAGTCTGTTGAGAGTATATGTCCCTAATTGCCTCAGAAAAATTGTTTAAAGCTTTGCAGCACTATCCTGTTAGAACCAGATACAGGGACAGAGCTCATGCTTTAATGTCAGAGCTGATAACAAAAAGGCTTTATAGGTCCCTGCCTTTTTAAACGCCACTCTTCCCTCTTCCTCAAACATGCATATGCTAATCATACATGCACTAAACTCATTCGAAATAAGGCATTTGGTTGCTTATGTCTTAAGAACTTAAAGAATTCCATATCCAGTATTGTGTATAGTGCCAAACAGGCTCAGTGGAAGTACCAACACAAATTCCCCTTTTGGAGGAAATTGCCCGCCCCCAGACAAAATTGAAGGCATAGCCCTATTTGGACCACACAACCCTGCCTTCTCTTCTGGGATGGCACTGACTAAATGACTTATGACAGACCTGACCCAGAGATCTGCTGGGCTGGGTTCTGGAATTATACTGAAAGTATGGAGAAATTCTCTATTTTCAGAAAGGGCACATAATGGATACATGATAGGCTACTTGCAGACAAAAGTTAAAGAGGTGGCAAAAACTATGGCTCGGCAAGGAGAGCAAGCCATTTAGTAGAGAGAAAAAAATGGAGCAGAGTGGCAGCCACAGTGAAAATGCAGGTGCCCAATGAGACACATGGAGAATCGAAGTTCAGTTTCTAGTGTGTGCTAGTTCTAACCAATGTGTCTCTTTACTATAAACCATCTTATCTAGGAGTTGGTTAATACCCTTCTCTGTGTTTAACCAAAATTCCATTTTGTTTTTAATTTGGATTTCTGTGACCCAAATGATGTAGTTTTACTTAAAAATGGTAAGTTTTGAATGAAAAGGAAAACACCTGGGTTCCAACTGAGAAAAACTTAGAAAAATAAAATCCCAACAGAGTAAATACACTGAATTTCCACTGAAGGCACCATTACAAGAGAACAGTGGCATTGGGCATGGGATTTGCTTCTATCACTTTTTTCTACAAATAGTACAAAGGCATAAGCCCGCCAAGCCAAAGAGCTTCTCAATCCATCTCATGCCTCAAGCCCGTTCTAAGATTTCTTCTCTGAACTTGCTTCAATTTGGCCTAGCTAATTGACTTGTACAATGGATAATTCAGTCGCCATGGGGGTGGGGTGGGGTGGGGTGGAATGCTGCTTGATGAGAGATTCTAGCCTCTGGATCCATCACAATCTTAACATCCAACTTTCTGGTGAAGGAAGCTCCAAAGTAGAAAATTCACAACTTGAAATAAGCAGAATAGGGAGAACAGAAGCATTAACATGCAGCTCTTCACTGAGGTGGTCCCAGAGCAAAATCCATCACACTGTGATGCTACAGGCGTCATGAAGCCCAGATGCAGGACAGCAAAGAACAGAGATGAAAACGTGCAGCTAGAGGGACTCCAGGCATGGCAAAGGGTTTTGTAATTAGGGCAATCCACAAAAGTCAGCCATAGTAGACTGAGGTAAAGAGGGCCTAATCCAGAGACATGCCGAGGGGGAGCTGCAGTGGTAACTCTTTTTAAGAGGCGAGGCAAAGAGAATTAACACAAGGGTTAGTCCAGCATTAGAGGGAATGGATGAGGGCGAATCCCATTAGCTGCCCAGACCAGAAGAGCTTTGCTTGCTCCTCTGTCTTTCCCTGTCCACGAATTTGAACACTGTCCCGAAATATTTAAGAAAATAGTTAATGTTTATAAAAAGAACACGTGAGCCTGCTACTAGTATCATCCTTGCTAAAACAGGGAAAGGCAAGAGGCTTGTGAGTTTCCAGGAAACACAAAGTGCGGTTGAAGAAGAGTTAATAGGAAAAACATAACATCATATATTTCATGAACCTTTACACAACTCCTCACCATTTTCATCTATTAAAAGGTGCAGGATAGACAAATACCACAGGACGTGATAAAGGGAGCGAGTCAACCTCAGAGCCTCCAAAGGAAATCACAGTGAGGCCTGTCTATTCCTTGCTGTCTCTCGAGAAGGAGAACTGTCTTTGAACGTGACCAGCCAGTGTGTCAAAACAAGAACTCATAGCAAATCAAATACAACCACTGATTGGGCATAGCTCAGTTTTAGAAAGCAGAAACTAGTTTGAGAAGAATTAACTCTTAGGAATCCGTAGATATACTCCAGGAATACCCGGCCCCCTGCCCGCCCCGCTCACTGAAACCAGGCATCACTACTGGCCCTTATGAAAAGAAAGGTTCCAGCTCTAGTTTTTGCCTCTAGGAAGAACAAACTGAGCAAAGGTGAGTCTCCTGAGCTGCTCTCCCAGGAAGGCTTCTGGTCAGGAAAGAATCAATTGCTGCTCAGTGCAGAATCAAGTGTCCAGTCTCTTAGCAAAGAGAAATGGAACGGAAATAAAACTACTATGTAGGATATAGAGAAAGCTTTATAAATACAAGATGCTTGGCTAGGCTATTACTAGGACTTCATAAAGGCAATTTCTTATTTCTTAAGGCCATGAGAACAGGAGTCAATTTGCTCAAAATAACGAGATATTCAAGACCACAGAGGTGGTAGGAAGAAGCTCCACCATGCAGGCAGCAGATATTTCTCTGACAAGTACAGAGAAGCCTTCTTCATTATCCAAAGAGAATCTGACACTGGATCTCTTTATGAAGCGCCTCATGATAGTTTTATGGGTAGCCCAAAGAATACTTCGTCAAACAGGACTTTTCATTGCACAGGGCCACATTGGAAAAAAAATTAGAAGGTGTACACATTTTTCCTTTTGTGTAAAAAATAATTTTTTTAAATAAGGAAATTCAATGCCTATGACACTACTTAAGCATTCTTTCATTATTTCACTTTCACCAAAGGGAGGGTATAGCCATTTTTACCTAAAATTTCTGAAACACATTTAACATTAAAAGATCTAATTGTATTGTCTCAACTTTAAAATCTGATTGTTAACAAGGTATTGTTTGAAGCTGGTTTGTTTTTATTTTGCCTTTCCTTGACTGACCTTGTAACAACTGCAAAATGTTAGGGTCTCACAGAAATTATTAATACTCCATTCTTAAGAGATTTTTTTTCCATTTAAACTAGATTCAGGGAGTCAGCCTGTAAGCTAAAAACAGTTTTCACATTTTAAAAGGGTTATTTTTTTAAAAACATCTGGCCAGGAGAGCACTGTAAGGCTGGCCTCAGCTTAGTCTTCTCTAGGCTTTAATATCACCATCCTTAGGATTCACAGTTCCTAAATTAAGATCTCAAATCCCACCTTAAAATTAGGCTGGACTCATGTAGTTTATGGGCCATGAGTTGTTCATTTGCCCAATGTTCAGCATTAATCCACACTTTTGGAAACACTTTCATGAAATAAACAGTGCTAGGTACAGTGCTAGGTAGTATATGGTAATACCAGATGAGAGACATAGAAATCTTGCAGAAAGCAGGTGGTGTCAAAGAGCCTGAGTAAGATTGAGATAAGTGGGCAGCACCGTCCCAACACAGAGGAGGGAGCAAGGCCTGGACACAAGGCATTTTGTGGCAGGGAGGGGAGTGAAGCCGAGGCACAGACAGAGAGGTACCTGGATCCCCACTGCAGTAATGAACATAGGAATTTCATAGCAGGCAGTGGTATAAACAATCTGAGGTTTCAGCCTCAATAGGACGGTGCTGGGAAAAATGTTTTAGTATGTTCTTCACTGTATTGAAAAAAGGATAGTCTCATACCATGGCTCTTTTCCTGATCAAATAAAGTTGGGATCTTGGCATTCAGCCAAGTTCAAGGGGCCTCACTAAGCACATAAATTGGCCATGTGCAAGGAAGCCCTGCCCTGTGCTCCCACCAGCCTATGTGGTTTTCATGGATGTTGACTACTAGCATTGTGTAAAGTGTGCAGGGCTGGGCTGCCTGCTAGAGGAGAACAATGATCATGGTATTTTCTTTATGAGACATTTTTAACTAGAAGTTAATTTCTGGGTGTCAGGAATTCTCGACAGGGAAGTTTTAGCTATCAAACACTGTCCTCGGAATTCAAATGACTGTACATCTCCACCCAAATCTGGGACTGACCATGATGCCAAAATGCCTAGAGAAACAAGATGAGTCATGGCCTAAGAAATCTGGGGGTGGAGGTGAAGTGTATATAAATGTGAAAGCTGGAAAGCAAGGAGACATCAGTGTGTTCAGGGGCTGAATAAAAGCTGGGGCCTAGACACACATCAAGTAAATACTTCCACTGCTTAAAGTCAGTGAAATGCAGTGCACAGTTCTGGCCTGCTTCTCCACAAGGGCGTTGGTCTATGACAAACCTATTTATCTGAACTTTTATTTTCATTATAAGTTTACGTCTAAATGGATCATACAGACTCAATTTCCAAACCAGAGTTGAGGTAATTTTCCCTGTGCTTATATCCTAACTTGCCTCCTGTGCTCCTAAGTGCCCAAAGAGTAGGCCTGTCATTGAGGCCCTCTATACGTTAATTCTGTCCTCCATACATTAATTTCATATTTCACAAAACAGCCCTCAGTAAAAGTTTCTATTTGACTGTACATACAGATGTTTTGAGAAGAGTCAAAGAAGAGCAGAAAATTACATGCTATATGATACAACTGAAAATATTCTTTAAAATTAAAAACAATGGCTAAAAGTTATGTGTCAGCCACCATTTAATTTCCAGGGATCGGAATCACCTGACCTTCAAAATAACTGTTTCGATCAAGTAATCAATCAAAAAGTCAGTGAGCCTGAATAACACCCAATTTTGATAATTTTATACAGAGAGGGACACCCACACAAAGAAAAGACTTTATTTAAAAAGTCATTTAAGTTGATCTTTAAAGATCTTGTATGAGCCCTAAAGCCTGGTCTTCTATTAGTTACTCTTTATACACATTCATCTCAATTTGATATGCAAATTTTGGGTGCAAATCTTTTCTAACTCTTGACTGTCGACTTTGTATAATGGAAGTACAAACTGCCATGCACTACGGGTGAGCAAGTAGAACTGGACCTAGAAATTGTATAGATGACAAGCTCTTGAAGCAGTACCTAGCTCGCCCAGAAGTTTCCTTGACTTCCAATAATCGAAACAGCTCCTCACCCCAGCAGCCCCCCAGGATGAAGAAGCAAAGCCCACACTGAACAGATGAGACTAGGGCTCCCAGTTAGGCTGAGGTTATTAGGCAGCAGCAGTCGCCTTGGCCTGATATTTCAGATAGTGACCTGCTGTGATTGATTACACCGTTTCTGTGTTCCAGAAAACTTACAGAAAATATGTCCCAGAATAAGGGCACACATCAATTCATTCTTAGCACCAGGAGTGCAGACTTGGTAATTATCTGTATAGGTTTCTACCACTGTCAGAAAAAAAACCTACTTCCAAAGTAAAGACTCCCTATTATCATGCAGGTCCCCAATTTGCACCTTGCTATACAATGTGCCTGTTTGCTACTGCTAAATGAAGGACAAAAATACTTTCAAACAATTGTAACTGGCCTTGGGCAGAAGCACAGGCATACATTCTCTTGTGAACTTAACCGCAGCTTAACTGAGATGTTAAGCTGATGAGAATGTCGGAGGTGGCCACACAGGAGAGGACACGGAGGCTGAACACATGACTTGCACACAGTACATAACCCACCACCAATATACACAAAGTACTTACTGCTACGAACAGCATGGAGTACATGGAGAATGACGAGTGGCCTGAATAAAAGGATAATCTAAAAGAGAAAAAAGAAAAACATTAATGTTCTCTCCTACAGGAGACACAGCTCCCTTCCCTCCCCTTTAGAAATTAGGAGGATGGTGTAGGGTGACAGGACAGGAACATTAAAGCATATTTGCAGGGGGAGGGTGGGCGGTCTGAGGTCCAATTTCTTAATACAGTGTCATTTTATTTAAACTTTCAGGATGAGTAATGAGTCTGAGCACAAACTTGCCAGGCATTTCTAAAGTAATGCTTGACAAGCCATAACTGGCATAAATGGCCTGACTTTATTACATGTAAACTTATGTGACCATGATTTAAAGTTTATTTTCCACTTGCAGGGTTTGCCCCTTAGTAATAGTAACACCTCTTTGGAACATTCAGAAGTTTACTTTTTAAAAAATAAAAAAATTTAAGACCTATATTTTAGCATTTTAAATGGGCACACATCTTGCCTTAGATTTCCCACCAGATTACGTGCATTTATTTGACATTTATTTTTAAATTGTACACTGACATTGCTATACCACATGAATCTTCTCTTTCAATATTATAGTCTGTAAACATCTGAGTATCATCTTCCCACCTAAAAATGAGGGAATGCTTGCAAAACTTTATGCCACTTCGGAAGTAGAAAAAGCTAACGTTCATAATCGAGAGTTCTGCTTACATACTATTATCTACTGATGCAGAAAAGGCAAGTACATTTGATACAGTAGAAGTACTCCCTGTGAAAGATGCATCATGCAAATAATTAGCATGCTTCTGACTGCTTTTCCTACATATGAATAAAAACAAGACAAAAAGGGACAGGCTCTTAAATATTTTACTTATTATGCCCTGCTTGGTTCAATTTGGTCCCCTGGATTCAGAGAGGAAAAAAAGACTGCTAGAACACACATAAGAAAGTCATGTGTTTAAGTTTGGCAACTTGAGAGTAGGTGAGAGAGTGGAAAGTTCTTAAACATTTAGTGATGATAATTCTACCAAGAATTATGATAGTCTTTTTTAGAATCAGATACATTGCTAAGAAAGAATATTCTAACTTCCTGTGCCAGTTAGGAATTACTAATTAAACCAGATACTTATATTGGTTTTAATCTACGTAAAACAAAAATTACTTTTACCCTTGCCAACTATTTGGCTATAGAAAAAGATCAATAGAAATCCTTATTTTAAATCAGATAATTAGAGAAGAGTTTTGTTCATTTTATGGTCAGTTTCAGTGAGTTATATTGAAGAGTCTACGAGTTAAATAAAAGCCAATTTCAAGGACTGTCAAATCCCATTAAGCCATCGTGACCATGATCGCAAAAATATTCTCAAAGCCAAGCAAGTTAAAAAGTTTCACCAAGACTTCATGTTCAGAGTATTCACCATATGCTGTGCCACCAAATCATAAATTCCAGACTCGTGATAGGTTTGAACAACTCTGATTCAGTCACAGAGTGATTAGTTGCAAACAAAATGGTTTCAGGTTTTTATTCTGAATACATAAACATTTTATTCGGTATAGAATCAGCCAAAGAAGTCTGGCTCTGACCTTGACAAGAATATAAAACGTAAAGGGAGAACTCTGTCCAACCTCAGTCTCTAAGTCTTCACCCAAAGTAAGTTATTAAAGAGATCATGGTTATGGACTTTTATTTCTATTAAAAAGAAAACAGAAAAAAAAAAACACCAAAATATCAATTCAAATTATTTTCGTATTTCCTACAAAACTAACTCTTTCCTGGAGTCTCTAGGCAACATAGCTCTTAAGAGCATCTTATTGTGTCCATAATTCACAAATGAACAAAAAATTGCAATGGGTAATTTAATAAAAACCCAAAGACTAGTCGAAATGCAGAGTGTTTTCTGCATCATAGTGACCTCAACTGAAATGTTTAAAATTTTGTCCGTGGCCTAAGAACACTGACCTCTTATTACATTTTAACCAATCCTTAGACTACCATCTCATTTTCGTATAGCCCTTCTAATAAAGGTAGATGCCACGTCCTCTTTCTACCCTACTGCGTGACAAGGTCCGGAGATGGGGACAGAGGCTTCAAGGAATGCATCGTCAAGAACGAGGACGTGGCATGTGTTTAGGGATAATTGGTTTCTTAGAAATGATCCTATTAATAGGGGGAATTTGGGTAGCACAAATTCTAGTAAGTGTAAACGCTATACAAATGGAT